TGAGTGAGTGTGTGTGAGTGAGTGTGTGTGTGTGAGTGTGTGTGTGTGTGTGTGTGAGTGAGTGTGTGTGTGTGTGAGAGTGTGAGTGAGTGTGTGTGTGTGTGTGTGTGTGTGTGTGAGTGTGTACATGGCGCGTTCAGTCCTGTAGTGAGTCAGCAGCACTGTGACAGTGATCTCAGTCTTTGCTGGTCTTCTTATAGTCCGGCCTCGTCTCTGTCAGTCCAGCTGTGAGGTCTGAGAGATCTGGACTCACACCTGTTCACTCTGCTGGCGCTCTGGAGTGAATTCAGATCTCATACACTCACCTAAGCCAGCCCAGAATGCCCAACGTCTCAGTTATTGAAGTCTGTGCTTCAGAATAGAAGAGCTCTGATTAAAATCACTGTTTACAAGATGAGATTCATTCATTCATCCATGATTTCAACATGACTTTTCTTGAAATCGTGCTGAAATCTAGAGTGCGTTATGAACCCGTGCTGACGCGTTCACATTAAAGGTCTGCTGAGCGGCATCTGCATGCTCTGATTTCATCTTTTATAAATGGAGCAGTGCTGACCAATCAGGGCTCACCTGTATGTTATTTAGTGGATATATATGTGCAGGTCACTGTACAGTGATGGACTGAAGAGCGTTTGATGATTCTCCTTTGCTTGATTGAGTCATTCACTGTATAAAGTACATCAAAACAATATGATAAAATACTGAATGAAGTAAATAACAGTGACTGAAGTTTATTGTAGTGTCTATCTTTCCTTTAATTTACAACTAATTTAATGAGAAACCAGAAAGACCAGGTGATTTGCATCTCTGCAGGAAAGGACAAATATTTCTGATTTTGATAAAAATGGTGTGTGTGTCAAGTTCTTCAGAGCCCCTCGTGTCTTTACCGCACTCACTGGATGCAGATCGTTCTCCTGAGTGTGATGTGTCTGTATTCTCTATGCGAATGATTTGATGACTGATTGATTATTAGCATGTCTGCTAAAGTAATTCTGCATGCTAGTTTGATTTGCTGTTTTTTCATGAGACGTTAGAATTAAACATTTGACCAGAGGACACTTTGTTCCTGGCAGTTTCATTCTGAAGTCTCGAGGGTGTGACTTACAGCAGCATTAGGGTGAAATCTTCATCTTTATGGCATTTACTGCATTATGTGTTGAGCAGCTGCGTATTGTAGTTTTTGTATAATAAGGGTTTGCCGTGAATGACACGTGTTTGCGTCAGAGCGACTGTAAAGAATCAGGAGACTGATGACTCGAGGCGTTTGTGGACGAAAGCTCTCATCTCGACTCCCGTATTTCCAGAAGTGGTCAGATTATAATATTCTCTTTCTCTCTTTAGGAACCATGAGTTTGCGAGAGCTGCATCTGAACGGTCCATGATGAGCAGTGCGTCTGCAGATCGTGAGGTGCGCTGTCTGCTGTGAACACGCCACGCCTGACCCTCGGCCTGCTGGGAGCTGCAACTCTTTCCATGTGTTTATTTGAGGTGCTTTTATGTCCAGATCAGAAGCGCTTTCAGACTCTTTTCTCATGGCTTTGATTGCTCAGACACTAGCGGCGGAGTTCCTGTCTGCATCGAGTGGCAAAGTAATGCGGCCCTTTCTCTGGGCTGCGCTGTGAGCGTCTCGCTGTGGTCCTGTTGTGCTCGTCTTCTCTCTTCTGAGCGTCAGAATGAGACATTGTGTCGGGACAGAGAAGAGCGTGTGATCTCTCACCAGCAGTTTTGCACTGATCCAGAAAAATGAATGGAGGCAAAGAGAGGGAGGGTGCTGAGGGCAGAGGTCAGCTCGCCCAGGTGCCCATCGGCTGGCAGCGCAAGGTGGAGGTCTCGGGGGTCCTGTATATCAGGTATGGACCTGCTCTGTCTGAACATGCATCGCCAGGGTCCACATTCATTCCTGCCGAAGTTAACCATCCATAAACATTTCCTAACAGCCGTGAATCACTATTTTGCATTATTTGTATTAAAAATATATTTTTGTCGATGCGACAGCATCATTTATGAGGTTCGGTGAAACAGCAGCTGACACAAAAACGCTAAGACGCGTTGTGATTTGGTCCTGTTCTCATATCGATGGCTTAATCTGAGCCACTGCAAAAAAGTAGGGAGAAAAAATGCATTCTAGATCAACATCAGATGTTAAATGTGTTGGTTCTGATCCTGATAAGTTACCTGGCCGAAGCTAACTAACCTCTTCTGGAGTGTTCCGGTGGGCAGCATGTCATTTCATGTGGTTCTCCAGACACAGCATTTATGTGTAGAAAGTGTCTAACATTATTTTACTGTAATTGTGATCATTTGGTGTGTGTGTTTAGTCCGAGTGGATCAGTGCTGTCCTGCCTCGAGCAGCTGAAGTCGTACCTGCTGACCGATGGCACGTGTAAGTGTGGTCTGGAGTGTCCTCTCGTCCTCCACAAGGTCAGTACTCAGACGTAATGCTGCCCATTTCACACAATCTGGACATCTTTCCAAAAGCCACATTGTACATCGTCATCGATGATAAATCACTGTGCTGTATTTTATTGTGAGATCTTTCCTCTACCTGTGTCCGTTCAGAGGAGCCTGCAGCTGTTCGATTATAACCGTCACGTATCACATGTGCTCCAACTGAACTAAAAAACAGCATTGTACCCTGAGAAAATTTCAATATGCATTTTTGTCGTCTGTTTAAAATCAGAACGAGCGATGGCAACGAATCACTCTTTTGAATCTGAATTGCCTGAATTGTAGTAATTGTGTAATTCAGTTCAATTCATTCAGATGTTCTCTTAATGAACCATTACGACTTTAGTCATTAAAAAAAATCTGATACTTAAGAAACACAGAGAACAAAAAGAGTGCCATCAAAATAAAGCACAAGTCTTTTTTTTTTATTTTATTTTATTTTTTTAATGTAATAGAAACTTCAGCTAGTGCTGTATCATGAAAACATGGGGCTGTTCAGCTGAAAGTGTTGTTATATCCGCCTGCAGATTGATTTCCTCTGTGTGCGTTTGCTGTGTTTTACACTGTTTTTTTGAGTATGAAAGTGACTACCGGTATTATGTTGTTCCATGATATGGATTTTGCTATACCGTGGATGATGATGATGAATATACTTAAGATTCACAAATACCAAAACAAGGTGTCTACAGCAGACGCGAGCGACGCGATGAGACAAAAGCAAATAGAACCCAGTGATGTTCTGCTGTGGATGCGGCGCGACACAAACCCATGACGGTAAACTGATGCCCGTTCTATTTCTGACCAACTCCAGCGCTCTGACACAAAGAAGAATTTCAAATCAAATTCAAACAAATTCAAAGAGAATCGTGAAAAAATTGTTTCCTCAAAAATATTGTGCAGCACAACTGTTTTCAACATTGATAATAATCAGAAATGTTTCTCGAGCAGCAAATCAGCATATTAGAATGATTTCTGAAGATCATGTGACACTGAAGACTGGAGTAATGATGCTGAAAATACAGCTGCGCATCACAGAAATACAGTAGCCTATATGTTAAAACATTCAAATAGAGATTTTAACACAAATGACGATAAAGAGTCGAGGCTGAACGTTTTTATCCTCTGTGTGCAACACCGTACTACACAGGCATTAGTAATCAAACACAGAGCATGTAACAGACCAAATGAATAGAGCACAAATCTCCTGCTCCAGTGGTTCCCAAACTGAGGGATTGTGTACAGTCAGCAGATTATTTTGCAAAAGAAACCTCTGCAGGGTGATAAAGACTACACTGGGTAATTTTCCAGCTTATCATGCCGCCACTTGTCTGATAAGTAAATAATTGAGCGCAAAATATTAATTTGACATATTTTAATGACCTCAACATGACTAGGCCTATATGTTAAAACATTCAAATAGATCATTAAAATTTACAATATTTCACAATATTACAGTGTTTACTGTGTTTTTAATAAATACATGTAGTCTTGGTGAGCAGAAGAGACTTTCAAAAAAAAAAAAAAAAAAAAAAAAAAGAGGGGGGGGGCTTGAAAATATTTTTCTCTACAAAAGGGGGGGCAAAATATTAATTTGACATATTTTAATGACCTCAACATGACTAGCAGTACCGCTTGAGCGCTCTGTTATCAGTTGTAGCAGTTGTAGTTGTATCAATATCAGGCCACTAGATGGCGCGATTGAAGAATCAGAGTTGTATTGCAGGGAGCCATGTAGAAATATCTTGATAATATTTTTCTCTACAAAAGGGGCCCCGGCAGAAAAAGTTTGGGAACCACTGGCCAACTCAAACACACAATATTTAATTTAATTTAAATTCATTCATACAGGCCTACCTCATGTTGCACGTTTGCACTTTTTGAGAAAAACAATGGCACAATAAAAAAAGTATTTTCAGGTCTATGTCCAATCCCTCACCTTTTCTAGTTATACAAGGTTAAAATATTTTGCCTGTAATTTTTTTTTCTCATATTGCAATATAATATCTATCACCTGGACAGTGTAAAATATTGTGATATGAATTTGAGCTCATATCGCCCACCCCTAACTGTTTGGATGTGAGGTTAACTTCCTGTAATCAGTGTGGTGCCATTGACTGAGATTTACTCGCACCTAAATGCAGGGGCGGACATAACAAATAAGCGAGGTAAGCAGCCGCTTAGGGCCCCGGGGAATCAGGGGGCCCCATCTGATATTGGCGAAACATATTTGTGTATTTGTGTTCTGGAGAGCGTCAAATGTTCACTCACTCACTCACTCAGTTTTTGTCCAGTGCGGAGTTCTGCAAGCTCGCGAATCCTCTCTTTATAACGACGTGTAGATACGATGTAAATAAGAGATTGATTGTGCAGTGTGGAGAGCTTCACTGATTAACGGAACGTCGTGAGATCGTGATAAACTGAAGTGAATGACAGCTTTTAGTGATTATAGAGCGAGCGCTCTTTGTTAAAAGGACACAGTTATTGTGTTAGGGCCCCATACCTGAAATTTGCTTAAGTCCGCCCCTGCATAAATGTCACATCAAATAAACAAAACAACTGTGACTTCATGCTGACACTCAAGTCTTGGTCTGAAATGTCTGTTTTCTCAGGTTTTCAATTTTGATCCTGGTGCGGTGGTGAAGCAGAGGACTGCGGAGGATGTGAAGAGCGATGAGGATGTTACGAAGCTCTGCATCCACAAGAGAAAGCTGATCGCAGTGGCGACGCTGCATAAGAGCATGGAGCTGCCGCGTCCGGCCCTGACGCTCACCAGGCCCGGCGGAGGCACACGTATGACAACAGAGGAGCTTTTGTGTCAAATTAATATGAACATTTATGGAGAAGTGATGAATCTTTGATATTTCCCTCTTTTTAAACTTGTGCATGGTTTTTTCTCATTATTTGATTAATTTTGCTGTGCATTGCTGCAGGGGTTCCTTTGTTGTAAATTAAGTAATGCTAACCTATTGATAAATATAATGAATGTCACAGTATTACCTTTAATGGCAAATATCATAACTAATGACAATCTCAGGAACTCACTGCAGTTCTAGCAGAAAACCCCTAGCGGCTCATATATACCCTCGCTAGGAAACCCTGAGCAATCGCATCCCGTTCTGCACCTGAAATGACTGACAGCGGCTCTCGCTCTTCCTGTAGGTGTGACGTCTGTGACCCGTAACGCACAGCCTCGAGCAATAAGGAATAAAACCCACGAGGGCCAGCCAGAATGTAAGAACCCGTTCAAGGCGATGATGGCGGCGGGGCAGCGGCTCTTCTCTCCGGATCCGTGCGGCTCGCAGCAGCAGGAGGTTTTCCCTGTGTATTCCCGGCAGAGGCTGGCCAGCAGAGAGCCGGGGCCCAAGTCCCCCTACCGCAGCGTGCACATGCTGAGCCCTCCCTCGCAAGCCTTCGGGGACGGCTCTCTGTCCTCACGAACTGACGCTCTCGGCAGTCCTGATGGGTTTGTGCGCAACACCGCCTGCAGCTTCCAGGGGACCGGCAGTCCCGGGGCCATGCACAGCAGCAGCCGCATCCCTCTGTCTTCTCCTGGAGTCATGATGCACGGCTCGCCCGCTGCCCAGTCGTCCTGCATCATGGCTGGAAGGACTAACATGCCTCTGTCCCCTCCGGTCCCCAACAAGAGCCCGATCATGAAGAAGCCCCTGTGCAGTTACCCGCCGGGCATGGACTCCAGCAGGACTGTGTTTCGTCACAAGGCCCCGTCTGCTCCCGCCTGCGCCCTGCAGAGCAAGCAGCTGAGCTCCGAGAAGGACCCTCTCGGCATCCTGGATCCGATTCCCAGTAAACCCAACCCTTCCGCTTTCCAGCCCAGCGTCCACTCTCAGGTACCAATGATGAATGTAAACATCCCCCCCGCCATCGTCCCGCTGCCGAGTAACCTGCCTCTGCCCTCGGTGAAGCCGGGGCCGGTGGGTCACATGCAGAGGACTCAGCACACCGCCTCGGTCTCCCTGTCGCCCGTCACCTCTCCCGTGCACATGCCCGGGCCGGTCTTGGGCCGCATGGAGGCGTCTCCGCAGCGCTCCCGCTCCTCATCCACCTCCTCGGAGCAGGGAACCTTCGCTGTTCCCCCCTGCGGAAGCATGAAGGTCCCGCCGCGCTCGCCCAGGTCCTCCATGAGCTCGCCCCGGCCCGCTCTGCCCTCCAGCCCGTCTGGCAAACCGGACGCTCTCCACCAGTACAAAGACGTGCCCAGCCAGCTGCTGGCCGGGAAGAGCGCTCAGCACAACCCCATGTATCCGCACGCCCCGCAGAAGGAGCACCCGGGCCTTTTGGGAATGCCACTGAACCAGATCCTTAAACAACACAACGCTGCCTCTTTCCCTGCCAGCAGTCTCCTCTCAGCGGCCGCCAAAGCACAGCTAGCAAATCAAAACAAGCTCGTGGGAGGTGTGTCGAGTGCAGGGGCGTCTGATGCTAGCAGGGCTGTCGAAGGCCACAACACTCTAAATTCCATGTTGCCACCCAACCCTTCCATGATGATGCCCAGCGGCGAGGGCCAGAGCGGACGCGCGGCGCTTCGGGACAAGCTCATGGCGCAGCAGCGCGACCCTCTCCGCAAGCGCAAGCTTCCTCCAAATGCTGCCAACCACGAGAACAGCTTCTTCAACATGAGGACGCCCTGTCCTTCCGCTGAGCTTATGAGAAAAACCTCTCGACTGCCCTCCAACACGTCAATGGCCCAGCTACTCCAATCTCTGAGCAACCACAGCTCCCACATGAGAAACCCAGGCCGCGCACACTTTAGCGAGGGGGCCGTGGTCTCCGGAGCGGGGCCTCAGAGCGCACAGGTCCAGCAGCGGCTGCAGGGACAGACGGAGGCCATGCTCTGCCCCGGCGCGGAGTCTGTGGCGCTCCCAGCCCAGGGCCAGTATCCAGGCATGATGAACCAGATGCAGGCGACAGCGATGGGAAACTGCGGACCCATGAACCAAAGCGGAAGCCATGTGATGGGACACGCGAGCGCTCACTTTCAGCAGCGCGTCCCGCCGAACATCTGCATGCTGCCCAGCGGCGCTGATGACCGAGGTGAGGAGAATATCCAGCGTCTTGATGATGGTTAAACCAAATTAGTATTGAGAATTATGAAATTTCACTACTATCTAACATGTTGGCATCATGACACCCTTATTTCAAACATAAATATCATTATATTGAAATAAAATTACCTGTATGGTGATGTAAGATTTTGGTGATATCGCCCACCTCAGCCCAGATTTTAGCTTTTAGGTTGATCTTAGCTGATTGGTGGCAGTTTCTAATTACAGGGCCAGAAGAAAAAGAATGTTTCTAATGGTTTGGAAGCAGTCGTTCACATGGCTTAAAAAAATAACTGATTTGAATTTTTTTGTGACAAGCCATTGAACATTTTTGCAGGGCAAGTAGATCTGGAAAAAAACTCTCAAATTGAGCCCTGCTAAATTCAGTTTTGTAATAACTACCACTCTAAATATTGATATATGTTATGATGTTATAATGAATATGTGAGTTGCTGGAGCTGTTATATAGTGAATATAGTCACACACAAACACCTTTTAAACTATATTCACCGCTATATAACATAAGTTGATACTGATAAAATCATCTGCTAAGCAGCTAAATTCGTAAGGCCAACAAATCAGTTCTTATATTCGCACTAAATCAGGGGTAAAAATGGCTTAACCCTCTAGGCAAAACTGGCCCTTTCCATGATTTCTTTAATTTTGCATAAACAATAAGCAGGATATTCTGTTCCATCCCAGTAGTGCTGTCAAATGATTAATCGCATCCAAAATAAAAGTTTTTGTTTACATAATATATTTATGTGTGCTGTGTATATTTATTATGTATATATAAATACACACACATACGGTATATTTTTTATAAATATTTACATGTATATGCATATATATATTTATATTCTTATATTTTATATTATATATAAATATATTTAATATATAAACATAACATATTTTTCTTAAATATATACATGCATGTGTTTGTATTTATATATACATAATAAATATACACAGTGAGTGTACACACATATATTATGTAAACAAAACTTTTATTTTGGACGTGATTAATCGTTTGACAGCACTACATGCCAGCTTCCTTCTGATCTGATCTGAAGTGACGAGTCGTATTCTGTAAGCAGGTTCTGCTGATGTGTGCAGCATCATTTGATCATTATGAGAGTCACTTGAAAACAGTGTTCAAATCTCGGTCATTAAGTCAATCTATCTAAGTTAATTACATTGGAGAGCAGATTACCTGCTGTCAGCTCACCATAATGTGTCATAATAATAATCGTTGTCATAATAACACTTAAAATCCAAATTCAATAATTTGTTAGACTGTAAGAAAAGGAGGTTAAAAAAGAAGAAAGAGGTTGTGTCCTCAATGCATGCATGTAAATTGCCTTTTTTTTTTTTTTTTTGCTAACGCTGCACAGATGCAGTGCTAGCATGTTCTGCTTCAGGCCTGTTTCTGTTTTCTTGGCTAGAGCACTTGCACTCACACGGTTAAAAAGCTGTGTTATACCCTGTGTACACACATCTTCCCTGACCTGTTCAGTCGTGTGTGTGTGTGTGTGTGTGTGTAAATCATACCTTGGAAAGCACTACCAGTCATCTCACTGCTGTCTCCATGGCAACCTCCCCAGCAGCCGCTGGCAGTAGATCACACACACTGTCCGCAGCGGCCGTCATTCTGTGACACGCAGCATTCATTATGCAACACGACACGACTGCTGTCGCACATGCGTTTCATTTCAGTGGATGTGCATGAGTTCAGTGTGAGGTTTAAGCTTGATTACACACTGAACGCACATCATGCGTTAGCATTCATTGTGCCACCACACACCGTTTATCATCCAGAACAGGATTTTACGCACTGATCTGCAGCTCAGCAAACTACACACACGCTCACAATAAACATGCTGGGTTTTATAAACTTAAGCTACTTGTTCCATCTCTAGCCCTCGATGTCCTGCAGAGTCCAGCCTGATCAAACTCAGCTGTAGTTTCCTCGTGATTATCTTGATCAGGTTTGGAGCTCACCTGCAGGACAGTGGATCTCGAGGGATATTGAGCAAGTATTTCACACTTTTGAAGAGCCTTCAAGTAATTATATAATGAAATATCTGCAATTGTTTACACATGGCTATTTTTTTGTTTTAGTGGCTTTACTAGCATGATGTAAATTTGGACATTTAAAGTTACAAGATTAGTAATCAAATCACACTAGTCTTATGCTAAAAGTATAATATTGTTTTACATCTTGTGGTTGTACTTTTTAAACATCCTGCTTGCATTCTTTTCCGTATTTTATTTCCTCTGTGTATGGTCGTATTTGGAGATGTGACTGGTAACACTTCTGTTGCTAACAGGCGAGGCGGCATCGCTGAGCTGCAGCATCGCTAACACTCCTCAGATGAGCGGCGTGACGGCGGCCGCGGGGCACATGTACCACCATCACCCCACACTGCAGGGCATGCACGGGGTCTCTGCTTATCCGTGCCAGGGGCATTCCTTCGCAACGGCTCCTTTCACAGACAGTAACGTTCCCAACTCCAACAGCTTGCCTTGCCTGTACCAGGATTATCAGGTGACTCACTCAGTCCAGTAAAACAGTCCTGTCCTTGACTGTAGCTAGCCTGCTCTAAGTGACATACTCTTGTTTGTGTGGTTTTTGCTGTGTTCAGGGCTGCATGCCTGATGGCGGCCAGCCTGCGATGAGCTCTCATTCTGGAGACGCAGGTCTGTACCGAGAGGCTCCGCAGAAGCTGCAGGGTCAGGCTGACGTTTCCATGGCGGGAGCATCTGGAGGCCAGAGTTCGGTGGAGTCTGTGGATGCGATCTACAGAGCGGTGGTGGACGCCGCTGGCAAAGGCATGCATGTGACCATCACTACCGGCGTGAGCACACAGGCCAGCCCCGTCCCCGCGCTCAGCGCCATGAGTGCCTTCACCGCCTCCATCGGCCCGCCGCTCAGCCTGCCTCACGCCGTTAACGCGGTCATACACGCGCCGCGCGGATCCAAGGGGACGGAGCCCGGCAGAATGCAGCTGCCCAACCACACGCGCAGAAGCTCCGAGCATAGCAAGAACACGCCTGACGGCGCAGACACGCACGAGTATTTCCGCTCGCCTAGCGCCGCCACACCTCGCCCGCAGTGGGACGAGCCCAACCACGCGCACTGGAGAGGAGAGGAGTTTCTGGAGTGCTCCACCCAGGTGCACAGCAGTCCGTGCAGCAGTAAAAGAGAGAGAAAAACCGTGATGGAGTGTCTGCAGGAGACGGCCTCCGACGCTCAGACAGACGACAGCGCGAGCCTGCGGTTTAGCCACCGCGCCAGAGAGCGGCTGGAGCTCAACGGAGCGCTGCCTCGCGGAGGATACGGGGAGCCGCTCACCGGAGACGACCAGTCGCCCGGATCCTCCACCAGCTTGGAAGGGCCGCTGCTCAAAGACTACACTCACTTCAACGGGCACTTTAACGGACACTGTGCACCCAGCCCCTCGGACACCAGGAGCCTCAGCAGCGAGGAGGAGCTGCGGCACCCAGACTCTCCTTCAGCAGAGCTGCTGCACTACAGGCCCCGGGCCTTCAATGTGAGCGAGCTGGTCTGGCCGATCAAAGGCTTCCCGCCCTGGCCGAACAAACTGATGGGAGAAGAGCATGGGCACAATCCCAGCATGCAACTGTCAGAACAGGCCAGGGTAAGAGACGCTGCCTTGTCCTGTCTATATGCCCTTGAAGGTGCCTTACCCAAAAGTCAATTATTATGCAGCGTGAAAATATGATACAGAAACATCAAATGTCATTTTGCCGTAGAGCAGCGGCTAGTGCAGCAGCCCAAACATTTCAGTGAGATTTGTCTCAGTGGTTTTGTCAGTGTTTGTCTGGATTACGAGGGCTTTTAGATCAAAGATTTAGGTCAAATTTCAAATCTTCAACTGCAGTAGTAAATATAGCAGACAGTAGGTTTTCTGGGTTCTGCTGTTGAGGTAACAGATCTGCTGTTTGAACTCTCTTTAGGTGGAACCGGAGCAGCTGAAAACACTAACACAAGACCTTCAGGTGCTGGACAGAGCCAGCAAAAAAAACAGGAAGTAAGTGTCTCTGTAACACAGCGATCCTACAAGCCTAAATTGTAAAGAAACACCTACAGTACAAGTTAAAAAAAAAAAAAAAGGTTAAAAGGAGATGCTCAAACCAACCGAACAGGAGGTGCAACCAAAGATCTAAAATGTATCTCGATTGAAGAAATGGTACAACACTCACTCTAGAAAAAAAAAACATCTACAAGTGAGAATGTTAAATGGTGTGTCTGAGTTTTCACATGCTGTTTAAGGGTTAGTAAAATAGTAAGTTGATGTTACCACGATAAGACCATCTCGCTCAAGCAGTAGAGCTGATCTGAGATCAAGCACAAGCTCATCTTTAAGATGCTCTCAGATTTCTTCATTCTATCTTCAGCAAACAGAAAATTGGATAATAGTGTCAGTACTCTGTATTTGTTCATGTATACCTCAAAGTGACCTTTCGCCCAATTTCTAGTGACAGGCTCACAGTTTTAGGTTCAGTTCACATTTATTTGCAAAGTGCTTTTCACAATACATATAGTTTCAAAGCAGCCTTACAGAAGATGCCTGTTTCATGACACAAGGTTATTTGACCAGGGAAATGTTTTCACTCAAAGTTCTCTAAAGGATGTTTTTGAAAAACGTTTTGTCAGGAATAATGATAAATTGATCAAATATTGAAAGAAAAAACTAATATAATGGTTTGTTATATTGATGTGAGTTGGTTGTCAGTTTTTTTTTCTTCATTACTACTGTATGCTACTACTATTTGCTTCTTTAAAATACTTAGATCCATGAAAATAGCCATAGATACTGAAATGGCAATAAAAATAAATATCATTTGGTCAGGGACCAGGAAGTCTTGCATTAAATCTAGAAATCTATGTTAGTCTCTTTGATCCCCAGTGTGGAAAAGGATGAATTATAACTGTATGTGCACTAGTCCAGGAGGAGTTAGGGTTAGGTGTGTCGGTAAGGACACCTGAGTGCCAGATTTTAATAAGATAATTAAGAATTGACAGCACAGTCAGACCACAGGGCATTTCTTGTTCAAAAGTCTCAGACCGTGGACATTTGTCTAGATGTGGTCTGAAAACAACAAAGATAACAATGAGTAAACATAATAACAATAACTCGTCATAATCGGCAAGAAATAATCATCTACAATCATATTCTTTAAGTATTTAAAGGGGTCATATGACGCTGCTAAAAAGAACATTATTTTGTGTATTTGGTGTAATCAAATGTGTTTATGTGGTTTAAAGTAAAAAAAAAACACATTATTTTCCACATACTGTACATTATTGTTTCTCCTCTATGCCCCGCCTTTCTGAAACGCGTCGATTTTTACAAAGCTCATCGGTCTGAAAAGCGAGGTGTGCTGTGATTGGCCAGCTATCCAGTGCGTTGTGATTGGCCGAATACCTCAAGCGTGTGACTGAAATGTTACACTCCTCACCAGGTTCAGGAAACTTTCCTCCGTAAAATGTGCTGCACACACTTGAATATTGGGGTTGTACTGTTCTGGAACAGTGTTGTAAATAAAACTTAACCACTGATTTCTAGTTGTGTCCTCTTTCACAGCGCCTTCACGACATGGCGGCGGCAGCAGCAATACTACAGCGAGAATCAAAGTTACGCCTTCTTTCTTTGCGTGCACATTTGGGCGGCGTTATGCAAATCTTCCCACATAGTGAGGTAGATAAGGGGGGGTGGCGTGTTAGAACGAGCCGTTTTAGGAGGCGTGGACCAGTCTTAACTTTTATAAAGAATATCTCTTTGGGTTTGAGACTTTAATCTTTGCGACTTTAGGGGTCTTCTGTATGCACAAATAGCTTGTAACACTCCAAAGACAAAGGAAAACTTGAAATCGCATCATATGACCCCTTTAACATGTACTGAAATGAAATATTATACTATGTAGTACCTCTAGGTGTCGTGTGAAGCTCACAGTAAAAGTAGGTGAAAGGTCATTATATTTTACTGCGTCATTAAGTCGAACGAACAACGTGTAACTGTCAATCCACACAGTTTACAATATTAAATACTTCAAATATAGTACTTACAAACATCACTTAAACTATGAAATGAAGTATTAAACATTAAGAAGGCAATACGGCAGATGAACTTGGACACGCGAGTTGCTATCCGCTGCTCGAGTGAATAAACAAGCTCCTAGCTAATATACTTCTAGCTAAATGCAGCAAAGCATGCTTACATTGTTTCAATGACTCACGTAAATGTCCACTTCATGGAAAATGATCGTTATTGTTCATCCTCGGAACACTTGATGCTCCTCTGCGAGCGATCACCGGATGACGTCACAGTAACAGGTGCGCTCATGGGCTTAGCACCTAGTCGATGAAAAACTCCGTCTGCGCTGAGATGTTGAGAGGAACCAGACTTGTCTAGCAACAAAATAATGTCAATAACAATAATGCATAGACTAAGATAGTACAAATCATTAATGTTGTGTTGAGCACTTGTGTTATTGTGCTGCAGTTTGGCTCGACGTCTGTTGTTTTTAAAGGTGTGCTATTAATGCATCTCGTGTTTCTCTCTCTCGCAGGGCGGGAAAACTGAATCATCATTTAGAAGCTGTGATTCATGAGGCCATGAGTGAGTTGGACAAGATGTCTGGAACTGTGAGTTTCTCACACACACACACACACACACACACACACACACATCATGGAGCTTGTTCTGATTGGATGAAGGGATGATACAGTGAAGCTGTTGTCTGTCGATCTGCAGGTTCATCAGGATCGTCAAGTCAAGCTGCCCAAACCCAAGAGGAGGAAGATCTCCAGATAACAGCAGCGTCAGTGTCTCTCTCTCTCTCTCTTTGATCGTGGTGCTACACTCTAGCAGACGACTCATCGTGGCTCCGCCCTCATCCAGTGACTGACAGGTGCTGGATCAGCCAATTAGAAAAGGCAGCAAATACAACTTGTTGAAGAACTATTTTTTTCTAGTGTACAAGGAAAAATATCAAATGCAAAAAAAAAAACGAAAAAATAATTACTGCATTTAAGAACACAGACAGTCCAAATATTTCTGATATGTTTTCGATGTGTATATAGACGATACAGTAATTTCATGGTAAAAACATGGGAAGAAGTGTAAATACTGTAGGATAATGACATGTACAAGCCAACTCAATGCACACTTTATCTTCAGCTGTACAAAACACAAAACAGAAATGTCTCATCTGCCCATAAGGCCCTGCGACATTACAATGAATAAGAGTCAATCTGAGACTTTTCTAAGCTTCAGTTTGAGTTGTATTTTGAGTGTGTGTGTGTGTGTGTGTGTGTGAGAGTGTGTGTGTCGGAGTGGACTTCACCAGCTCAATGGGCTAGATGCGGGTTTGACTCGAGCTCGTGGGCTTCTATATATATATATATAGTTTAGGTCTTCCAGCACTAAACACTAATACATGAATATGTTTATAATTGTCCCGTGTCATTTTGCTGTGTTTTTTTTGTCTTTATATGGTTATGTTGGTCTTTCCTTTGTGGATTTGTTGTATTTGAGTTAGACAGCACTGGTTTGTGAGGTTTCATTGGAGTCGTTCTTACTGTAATGGCCAACGAAGAGGAAAACTAGGGGCCTTATAATGTTATTAATGATTCATGGACTCCCTGTTTATTTGACATGTTCAGTAAACTTGGCAATAATATGGCCCTGCGCAGATACTCACTAAAGCCTTGTACTTATGTACACACACACACTTCAGTATTATTCCGTTAACACACAGTGTTCCTTTGCCTTTCATGATGCACTCAGTATTTTCTCTGTTAAAGTTTCACTCATCAAGAATTTAACAGTACTTTTGGAAATCTTAATTTCACTGTCCACTTAATGATGGAAGCCTCCAGTCATATCAGTAATGAAATAAGATTAGATTGACTCTACATGAAGACGGTCAGGAGCCTCATGAGATCACATGACCAGCCGAACACCAATCACTTTATCTCAGTAACATCAGGAGTCAGAATCAGTCCGAGAACAGGAACACAAACTGAAAAACCACTGCGTGTATCTCCACGTGGTGTAGTAATGTGGTGGTGTGTTTGATTCTGCATTATGGAAAGACACAGATGAGCTGTCGGTTTGTTGAATCTCATACTGTTCTAAAAGGCGTTCATGGGAAATGTCACTTAGGTGAGAGGAGTTTGTTTTTGTCTTTGTGTCTGTGCTACTTTCATGAATATACGATCAGAAGGGTTAGTAAATGGCTTTAGCACTGAGGGGCAGTAGTGGTTTAGGGGTCATAGACGGGTTAGGAACAGGTCAGAGGTCAGCATTGTGCTCAGAATCACTGGAGTAAACATCTGCCAGCAACACTAACTCAATATGAAGAGCTGATTGAATTATTTTTGTGTGTAAACTCTATAGGTATGTGTGGGATTCGCAGCACATTGCTGTGTGAAACACTCTCATCAGCTTGCATCCGTTTGAAACTCTAAAGCAGGGCAGATTAAATAGCAGATATTGGCAGTTTTCTCTCCTTGTCGTCAATCTTTACAGAAATCTCACTACGAAATTAAGTGCAATATTTCCATTCCGTGGACGAGCGTGTGTGCGTGCGTGTGTGCGAGAGTGTGTGTGTGTGTGTGTGTGAGAGTGTGTGTGAGAGTGTGAGTGTGAGTGTG